CTCCCCCCGCCAGCCGCCAAAGACTTGACCACGTAACGAGCCCAACTCCCCCGAACGCCGCCCGCCGCTCGCCATGGATGCCGGTGTGACTGAAAGTGGACTAAATGTGACTCTCACCATTCGGCTTCTTATGCACGGAAAGGAAGTAGGAAGCATCATTGGGAAGAAAGGGGAGTCGGTTAAGAGGATCCGCGAGGAGAGTGGCGCGCGGATCAACATCTCGGAGGGAAATTGTCCGGAGAGAATCATCACTCTGACCGGCCCCACCAATGCCATCTTTAAGGCTTTCGCTATGATCATCGACAAGCTGGAGGAAGATATCAACAGCTCCATGACCAACAGCACCGCGGCCAGCAGGCCCCCGGTCACCCTGAGGCTGGTGGTGCCGGCCACCCAGTGCGGCTCCCTGATTGGGAAAGGCGGGTGTAAGATCAAAGAGATCCGCGAGAGTACGGGGGCGCAGGTCCAGGTGGCGGGGGATATGCTGCCCAACTCCACCGAGCGGGCCATCACCATCGCTGGCGTGCCGCAGTCTGTTACCGAGTGTGTCAAGCAGATCTGCCTGGTCATGCTGGAGACGCTCTCCCAGTCTCCGCAAGGGAGAGTCATGACCATTCCGTACCAGCCCATGCCGGCCAGCTCCCCAGTCATCTGCGCGGGCGGCCAAGATCGGTGCAGCGACGCTGCGGGCTACCCCCACGCCACCCATGACCTGGAGGGACCACCTCTAGATGCCTACTCGATTCAAGGACAACACACCATTTCTCCGCTCGATCTGGCCAAGCTGAACCAGGTGGCAAGACAACAGTCTCACTTTGCCATGATGCACGGCGGGACCGGATTCGCCGGAATTGACTCCAGCTCTCCAGAGGTGAAAGGCTATTGGGCAAGTTTGGATGCATCTACTCAAACCACCCATGAACTCACCATTCCAAATAACTTAATTGGCTGCATAATCGGGCGCCAAGGCGCCAACATTAATGAGATTCGCCAGATGTCCGGGGCCCAGATCAAAATTGCCAACCCAGTGGAAGGCTCCTCTGGTAGGCAGGTTACTATCACTGGCTCTGCTGCCAGTATTAGTCTGGCCCAGTATCTAATCAATGCCAGGCTTTCCTCTGAGAAGGGCATGGGGTGCAGCTAGAACAGTGTAGGTTCCCTCGATAACCCCTTTCTGCTGTTTTCCCATGATCCAACTGTGTAATTTCTGGTCAGTGATTCCAGGTTTTAAATAATTTGTAAGTGTTCAGTTTCTACACAACTTTATCATCCGCTAAGAATTTAAAAATCACCTTCTCTGTTCAGCTGTTAATGCTGGGATCCATATTTAGTTTTATAAGCTTTTCCCTGTTTTTAGTTTTGTTTTGGGTTTTTTGGCTCATGAATTTTATTTCTTGTTTGTCGATAAGAAATGTAAGAGTGGAATGTTAATAAATTTCAGTTTAGTTCTGTAATGTCAAGAATTTAAGAATTAAAAAAACGGATTGGTTAAAAAATGCTTCATATTTGAAAAAGCTGGGAATTGCTGTCTTAAACTCTTTTGTTGGTGCTTTTTTTTCTCCTCTTTTAGCCTGAGGTGTTTGGAGGGAGGAGGGCGAAGGGTGGGCCCGTCCTTGGTATTCTCTCAAGCTCTTCTCACCTTATCGGTAAGATTCCATTCCCTCTGTGCCCCAACAAAGGAACATGGCAGGCTGGGCTTGCTTTGGGATGTTTCCAGAGACAGAGGGTTTCAAGTTCCAGCGAGAGGCCTCCCCATTTATCTGGTAGTAACAGGGTTTTCTCGAGGGGAAAAGGTGTGCCCACTCAGTAGGACCTCCGAATGGCAGAGCGTCCTCTCCATCTAACCAGTCCCCCCACCCCCACCTCACATGATAAACTTAGGAACAAAAAAAATATTCTGAGGTGGGAGGAGCCTGGGGAAGGGTTATGGGGGAGGGAAAGGAAGAGAAGGGAGGGCAATGGGGGGGTGGTATTGGGGGCTTGGAGAAGGGCAACAGCTGCAGGGTGGTGGTGGGAATGGAGGGGTCTTGGTTGGGCAGCAGGGGTGGGAAGGGGGAGGGGATGGTACCAACAAGACGCACGTGTCAAGCATGCACCTGTGGCAAGCAGCCTGTCAGAGGATGTTATTACACCTGCCAAGTGGTGTTCCAGAAACAAAAGAGGCCCAGTTTCCAGTTCTTCAGCTGTGTGCAATGTTTAGAGAATCGCTATACCAGGAAATAATCCTGCCTTAATGGGTCAGTCTTAACAGGCAGGAATGTAGACTGATGTAGTGACTATAACCTAAGAAGATCTGGGTGTTAAAAGATGCAGATTCCTGTGTCCCACCCCAAAACTAATCAGCTGCATTTTTAACACTCCCAAAGGAGTCTTAGATTTGAATGCCACTGATTGTCATCAGTGGAGGAAGATCCTGCTGTGAAGGCGGAGCAACCTCACCCACATCAGCCAATGGGAGGGACCTGACCTGATGAGAGAAGGAAAACTCTGCTAGGCAAAGGCAACATTAGAAACAATAGTACACGAAAATAGAGCCTGAGATGAGGGAAAGAAAAAACAATAGAATCAAACAATAGACCACTAGGTGCCAAAGTGGGTAGTTCAAACCCCAGCCGATATGGGAGATCACTCATGGCAAAGAGGAGTTCTTGTGGGAGGGAAGTATTATCTGCAGTAAATATTTGTTGAGGCTTATTCTCTACAGGACATCTTCCTGAGGTACATCCCTGGTTCTGAGAGTGGAGGTTAAGATTGGGGCCTGCCATGCACCTCACACTGTGGCCATGCAGGATTAGGCAAGCAGTCACTGAAAGGAACCCAAATTTGCTCTCACATTTGAGTTCTGCCTCTCATTCATGGCTTTGGGCAAATTATTTAATCTCTGTAAACAAAGATGTTAAAAGTACCTCCTAGGCTTGTGAAAATAAGATGAAAGCATGTATGTAGGACAGAACAGTGCTTAGAACACTAAATTTCAGTGTGCTCTGGATTATAAAGAGCCAAAAGGCCCATTTCTGGGGGCCGAGGGTAGGCCACAACATCTGGGCAGAGAAGACAAGATTAAAAGGTAAGGAACAGAGCAATGTGTATTAAATGAGTTGAACTGAGAGGCCAAGACAGGTGGGGAGGGAGGGGGACCTAGTGAAGACCCAGAAGTGGGAACCGTGCTTTCTGGGAACAATGAGCACAAATCCATATCAAGGCAGGAGTGGATAGTAAGCTTGAACCCTCAAACACCAAGCTGAATAGTCTGTAAAGAACCCCTGAAACGCTGGGTGAAGCAGTTCAAACACCTTATGAAAAGCAGGCCTTAATACGAAAAATTAGGCTGGGTGTGGTGGCTCATGCCTATAATTCCAACACTTTGGGAGGCCGAAGTGGGCAGATCATTTGAACTCAGGAGTTTGAGACGAACCTGGGCAACATGGCAAAACCTTGTCTCTACAAGAAAAAAAAAAAAAAGAAAAGTATTAGCCAAGTGTGGTGGTGTGCACCTGTAGTCCCAGCTACTTGGGAGGCTGAGGTAGAAGATCACCCTGCACCTGGAAGGTAGGTCAAGGCTGCATTGAGCTATGATCACACCAGTGCAGTCAACCTGGGCAAGAGAGCAAGAACCTGTCTCAAAAAAGAAAAGTGGGCCTCAAACTTTCCTGAACCTCTTCCTCACTGCATCTTATATTGGGGAAAGCTGGCAGTAATTTGTAAAATAATGATTTAAGGCAGCAAGGCAAAATGAATTGCTACTTGGAGAGATGAAAGGCAGGAATAGCAGTTGCCAAAGTCCCTCAAGGAAGAAGCAGGCTCTAATACAGGCTGGCAAGCAATATCAATAGGAATGCAAGGAAAGGAGCTAGTCAATGCAGAGAAATTGAAACTAGGTAAAAATAAAAAATAAAAATGAAATGAAACTAGGTGTGGAGGCCAGAGAAACATGTAAAGACAGGGAACAGTGAATTCAGGCATGGTGATAGAAGTAGATGCAGACAGAAATATTCCACAAATAGCTAGAAACAGGAGACAAGACTCTGACTCGAAGTCAGAGCTGCATAAGGACAGAGGTAAATGAGGGGAAGGGACTAGAGATGAAGTTTTGGGGTATCTTATTGGGTCAAAGAAACTGGTTTTCTTGGTCACTGCATATTCTAGTACCTGTCACCATACTTGACCCACAGCAGGGACTCAAATATTTGTAAAGTGTGTATGGAAGAGGCAGCCAGTGAGGACCGAAGGAATAGTTGAAGCAGCAGGAGAGATATCAGGAGGGTGCCCTTGAGAGAAGTCAGGGAGGAACAGTCCAGGGCTGACGGAGTGACAATAATGCTGTAAGGTGGTTATTCCATGGACTTGATCGAACACCTACTGTGGGCAAAGTACTCTGAACTACAGCGTGCTGTTGTGGTGCACTTGGAAGATGTCTAGTAGCTGATTACAGTTAGAATATGATCTTTGATAGTGGGAGGCAGAGGAGGTGGAAAAAGCCATAAAATTATCTGGGGCTAAATTATCACCAGCCTTGAATGCCATAACAAAGGCTTTGAGCTTCGTACTGAAAATCAGTGGTCTCCAAACATTTTCTTAAAGTGTAGGCCTTCAATAGCAAGTCTTTAGCATATACCTTTATAACATGTTTGTTTACTTATAAATTATATATGTAGGCTAATCCTCATGCTTATCTATAAGCTATATATAAGCAGAATTCTACATATGATATGCATTATAAACACAAAATTTAAATATTAAATATAAACAAAAATTAAATATTTAAAAACAAGTGAAATCTCTTATGAATCAGACAAGAGAAATTTTTCTAATTGAAATCTTTATTTATTTATTTATTTATTCTGAGGCAGAGTCTCACTCTTACCCAGACAAGTGCCTCAGCTCACTGCAACCTCTGCCTCCTGGCTTCAAGCAGTTCTCCTGCCTCAGCCTCCCAAGTAGCTGAGATGACAGGTTCTTGCCGCCACGCCCAGCTAATTTTTGTATTTTTATTTTTTTCATGTCAGATGGGTAATGTGCCAACGTTGTAACAAGGTTTAAGGGTGGCACATCTTACACAAGCACATGAACACCCAATCGTTATGCTCATGAACTACAACAGGATCTAATTTTTGTATTTTTAGTAGAAACGGGGTTTCACCATGTTGGCCAGGCTGGTCTTGAACCTCTGACCTCAGGTGATCTGCCTGGCCTCAGCCTCCAAAAGTGCTGGGATTACAGTTGTGAGCCACCTTAACTGGCCTAAATTATTTTATTTATTTTGAGACAAGTTATCACTCTGTCATGCACACTGGAGTTCAGTGGCATAGTCACGGCTCACTGCAACCTCAACCTCCCAGATTTAGCTGATCCTCCCACCTCAGCCTCCTGGGTAGCTGGGACTACAAGTGTGTGCCAACATGCCTGGCTAATTTTTGTATTTTTTTGTAGAAACAGGGTCTCACTATGTTGCTCAGGCTGGTCTTGAACTCCTGGGCTCAAGCAATCCACCCGCCGTAGCTTCCCAAAGTGCTGGAATTATTTTTTTTAGATGGAGTCTTTCTCTGTTGGCCAGGTTGGAGTGCAGTGGTGCAATCTCAGCTCACTGCAACCTCCACCTCACGGGTTCAAGCAGTTCTCTGCCTCAGCCACCCAGAGTAGCTGGGATTACAGGTGCCTGCCAGCACACCCAGCTAATTTTTGTATTTTTAGTAGAGACGGGGTTTCACCATCTTGTCCAGGTGGCCTTGAACTCCTAACCTCGTGATCCACCCACCTCGGCTTCCCAAAGTGCTGGGATTACAGGCGTGAGCCACCACTCCCAGCCCAGTATCTAAATCTTAATAGTTTTGTTGTTGTCATTGTTGTTGTCATTGTCGTTTTTCAGAATGAGTCTAGCTCTATGTCCCAGGCCCGAGTGCAGTGGTGCAATCCTGGCTCACTGCAACCTCTGCCTCCCGGGTTCCAGCAATTCTGCCTCAGCCTCCCAAGTAGTGGGGATTACAGGTGCACACCACCACATTTGGCTAATTTTTGTATTTTTAGTAGAGATGAGGTTTCACCATGTTAGCCAGGCTGGTCTCAAACCTCTGACCTCAGGTTATCCGCTTGTCTCGGCCTCCCAAAGTGCTGGGATTACAGGCATGAACCACCATGCCTGGCCAATCTTTATAGTTTTTTTACCCCTTCACCCCCGTCCTTTCAGACACCAAAGGAATTCTGGAGAAAACAATTTCACTGGAATGAGTATGCTTGGGAAGCAGAATTTCAGAAGAGTGATGTGGGGAAGGTAATTTGCAGCAGGAGAGGAGGGCATGGTGGGTGAGGGAAGGGAGGCAAGGGTATCCACTGCTCAAATACTTGATGGTGCAAAGGAGGGAAAGAAATAAGTCAAAAACTTGACTGGGAGAATTGAGGACAAGATTGTTTTGTTTTATTGGTTTTGAAAGGAACCTCACTAAAGGCAGATAATAAGGAATCAATAGTAAGCTGAATGTTAAAGGTACAGGTAACAGAAGACTATGGCTCTAGCCCTAGTCTGTTGGACTGTTGGAATTGAACTCTGTCCCCTCTTCCATAGGAACTTGCATCTCAGAATTCCTCTCCTTTGTCCTTTCTCTTTGGCGCAGCTTGAGCATGTCCTGTTCTCTTCTGGATGGAGGGCTGGAAATTGATGAGGCCCCTATGCAGTTGCTGTTTCTTGTCACAGCCTTGTTCCTGCTACCAGCTGTTAGGCCACAGCCACTGCCATAGTTGGGAAGAACCCAAACAGGTTGACAAACACCTGTTGTGTCACAGCCATAGTAGTTGTATCATGTGTTTAGACTCCCCCAGTCCCCAATCCCCTCCTTTGCCCCACGCAAATATAGACACACATACACACACATGTGCGCGTGCGCGCGCGTACATGACCACCATGTGCTCCCCTCCAGCCAGTAGTTTGGACAGTGAATCACCACCCTTGGGTTCACCCCTAGAGCAGCTGCTTACTCTGAAAAGTAAGCAGTATTTACCAAGAGCATGAAGTTCGTGAGTTGAACCCACCTCACCCTTGCTACTCTTGGCTATCCCAAGTGGTGAACTACATACTGTCCAGCATCCCTGCCGGCCACCTCCTGCTAGTGAGACAGTGCCCAGCCAGACGTACACATAGGCAGTCGCAGCAAGAGAAGCCTTCCACTACCAAGTCCTCGGGTCACTTCACCTAGCCTGGCCACCTGAGGGGCCTTCCTAATATTCAAATCTAAACACATGTGTCCCCCGATCAAAGGCTTTCCAGTCCCTCCTCACCCCAGTGGTCTATGAAAGAAAACCCAAACTGTTCAGCACAGCTTTCCAGGCCCTTGAACATCTGATCCCCCCCAGCCTCACCAGTGCAAGGCCCACCACTCTCCTGCCACTACCTTCAGCTTTCCGTACAAAATAACTGGCAGTTCCCCCAAAGCCATTCTGTGTGGGCATCCTTGCCTGTGGGACATCATTATTTCTTCACCCTTCTGATCCTGGCTGTGCTTTTCTTCCTTACCTGCCTGGGGTGCTAGGGCTCCCCAGCTGGTCATGTACGAGTGTGTGTGTGTGCGTGTGTGTGTCTATATTTGCGTGAGGCAAAGGAGGGGATTGGGGACTGGGGGAGTCTAATGTTTCAGCAGCAACATTCTGCAAGGAAAATCACTCTGTGCTGAGACTGGGAGACCTGAGTTCTAGTCCTGGCTCTGGTATCAGCTCACTGGGAGAGCTTGGACAAATTCCTCCATCTTTCTGGGTCTTAGTCCTCCATCTGAGAAGACGGGGTAAGTTCGGACCCATGATTCTCTGGCTGCTTTGGAAAATAAGGCTTCCTTTGTGGGCACCCATCCCAGCTTCTGCCTCCTGCCACAGGGCTGACTTCTGACACACAGGCCTTCTGTAAGCACTCTAAGAGAGAAAAGCGGAAGTTGACAAAAAACTGGCAGCAACAAGCCCCAGCTTGGCATTTTGGGTAACTATTCATGGGCACTTGATTGAGGAGGAAGTAGAAAGGAAGAACTTCAGAGAGATTTGCTCGGAACATACCTGATCTATCGTGCCTGTCACTTTAGACTTTTTCTTATTTTATTTATTTATTTTTAATTTTAATTTATTATTTTTTTTTCTTTTTTGAGACAGAGGCTCACTCTGTCGCCAGACTGGAATGCAGTGGCATGATCTTGGCTCACTGAAACCTCTGCCTCCCAGGTTCAAGCAATTCTCCTGTCTCTGTCTCCCAAGTAGCTGGAAATACAGGCATGTGCCACCACGCCTGGCTAATTTTTGTATTTTTAGTAGAGATGGGGTTTCATGATATTGGCCAGGCTGTTCTCAAACTCCTGACCTCGGGTGATCCACCTGCCTCGGCCTCCCAAAATGCTAGAATTACAGCCGTGAGCCACCTCGCCAGCCTTTTTTCTTGTTTATTTAGAGGCAGGGCGTCACTCTGTCACACTGGCTGGAGTTCAGTGGCACAATCTAGGTTCACTGTAACCTCCGCCTCCCAGGTTCAAGCAATCCTCCCACCTCAGCCTCCCGAGTAGTTGGGACTACAGTTGTGAGGCACCACAGTGGCTGGGTTTTTCTGTACTTTTTATAGAGACAGGGTTTTACCATGTTACCCAGGCTGGTCTCGAACTTCTGGGCTTAAGCGATCCACCTGCCTCAGCCTCTCAAAGTGCTAGGATTATATGTGTAAGCCACCATGCCCAGCCTGCCCAATTTTTCAATCAAGGAAGCAATATATGAAGCCTGGCATGGTGGATTGACACCTATACTCCCAGCACTTTGGAAGGTGAAGGCAGGAGGATCAGTTGAGGCCAGGAGTTAGAGACCAGTCTGGGCAACATAGTGAGACCTTGTCTCTATTATAGTTAAGAAAAACGGGCCGGGCGTGGTGGCTCAAGCCTGTAATCCCAGCACTTTGGGAGGCCGAGGCGGGTGGATCACGAGGTCAAGAGATCAAGACCATCCTGGTCAACATGGTGAAACCCCGTCTCTACTAAAAATACAAAAAATCAGCTGGGCATGGTGACACGTGCCTGTAATCCCAGTTACTCAGGAGGCTGAGGCAGGAGAATTGCCTGAACCCAGGAAGCGGAGGTTGCGATGAGCCGAGATCGCGCCATTGCACTCCAGCCTGGGTAACAACAGCGAAACTGCGTCTCAGAAAAAAAAAAAAAAAGAAACAAAAACAAAAATTTAAAGGCCAGGAACAGTGGTTTATGCCTATAATCCCAGCGCTTTGGGAGGCCACGGCAAGAAGATCAGTTAAGGCCAGGAATAGACCTTGTCTCTATTATATTAAAAAAAAAAAAAAAAAAAAAAAAAGCCGGGCACCGTGGCTCATGCCTGTAATCCCAGCACTTTTGGAGCCAAGGAGGGTGGATTACAAGGTCAGGAGATCAAGACCATCCTAGACAACATGATGAAACCCTGTCTCTACTAACAATACAAAAAAATTAGCTGGGTGTGGTGGCGAGCACCTGTATTCCCAGCTACTTGGGAGGCTGAGGGCAGGAGAATCTCGTGAACCCAGGAGGCAGAGGTTGCAGTAAGCCAAGATCGGACCACAGCACTCCAGCCTGGTGCGACAGAGCAAGACTCTGTCTCAAAAAACAAAAACAACAACAACAACAAAAAATTTAAAGGCCAGGAATGGTGGCTCATGCCTGTAATCCCAGCACTTTGGGAAGCCAAGGTGTGAAGATTGCTTGAGCCTATGAGTTTGAGACTAGCCTGGGCAACATGCCAAAACCCTGTCTCTACCAAAAATACAAAAAAAAAAAAAAAAAAAAAAAATAGCTGGACTTGGTAGTACACACCTATAGTCCCAGCTACTTAGAAGGCTGAGGTGGGAGGATCACCTGAGTCCAGGAGGTCCAGGCTGTAATGAGCTGTGACCACACCACTGCACTCCAGCCTGGGTGAGAGAGACCCTGTCCCAAAAAAAAAGAATAAATAAAAAATAAAAAGAAAGCAATATATATCTTTATAGAGCGTACATGAATATCTAACACATATAAAAATCCTTATTGGTAGGCCAGGCACAGTGGCTCACGCCCATAATCCTAGCACTCTGGGAGGCCGAGGTGGGCAGATTGCCTGAGCTCAGGCGTTTGAGACCAGCCTGGGCAACATGGTGAAACCCTCTCTCTACTAAAATACAAAAATTAGCTGGGTGTGGCAGCGTGAGCCTGTAGTCCCAGCTTCCGGAGGCTGAGGCAGGAGAATTGCTTGAACCTGGGAGGCAGAGGTCGCAGTAAGCCGAGATTGCACCATTGCACTCCAGCCTGGGGGACAGAGCAAAACTCCCCCTCAAAAAAAAAAAAAAAAAAATTCTTGTTGCTATTAACATCCTCTATTCTTTGTTGTATGCATATATAAATATACTACTTTTCAATATATATAGACATAGTTTATGTGTCTATATATATGCACATATATATATATAGAGAGAGAGAGAGAGCGAGAGAGAGAGTATATAAATATATATATATATGCAGAAATCGCTGCTTTTCAGGATGGTGAGACAGAGTCTCGCTCCATCACCCAGGCTGGAGTGCAGTGGTGCAATCTTGGCTCACTGCAATCTCCACCTCCCAGGTTCAAGCAATTCTCCTGCCTCACCCTCCTGAGTAGCTGCGATTACAGCTGCTCACCACCCCATCTAGCTAATTTTTGTATTTTTAGGAGAGATGGGATTTTACCATGTTGGCCAGGCTGATCTCGAACTCCTGACCTCAAGTGATCCGCCCACCTTGGCCTACCAAGTGCTGGGATTACAGGTGTGAGCCACCGTGCCCAGCCAAATTCGCCATTTTAAAATGTACAGTTTAGTGGTTTTTAGTATATTCACAAGATTGTGTAATCATCACCACTATCTTATGTCAATCATTTTCATCACCCCGAAAAGTAACCTTTTCATCTATTACCAGTCCCTTCCATCCTCCGTCACCTCCCGTCTCCACCCTCGAGTCTCTGGCAAGCACTAGTCTACTTTCTGGCTCTATGAATTTGTTTATTCTGCACATTTCATATAAATAGAATTATATAATAGGTGGCCTTTTGTGTCTGACTTCTTTCATTTAATATAAGTTTTCAAGGTTTGTCCATGTTGTAGCAGCATGATTCAGTACTTTTCTTTCTTTCTTTTTTTTTTAGATGGGATTTCACCATGTTAGCCAGGCTGGTCTCGAACTCCTGACCTCAGGTGATCCTCCCGCCTCGGCCTCCCAAAGTGTGCTGGGATTACAGGCGTGAGCCACCTTGCCTGGACTTCTTTCTTTCTTTTTTTTTGAGATGGAGTTTCGCTCTTCTTGCCCAGGCTTGAGTGCAATGGCACAGTCTGTCTCTGCCTCCCAGGTTCAAGCGATTCTCCTTCCTCAGCCTCCCCAGTAGCTGGGATTACAGGCATATGCTACCACAGCCCACTAGTTTTATATTTTAGTAGAGACAGGGTTTCTCCATGTTGGTCAGGCTGGTATCGAACTCAGAACCTCAGGTGATCCACCCACCTCAGCCTCCCAAAGTGCTGGGATTACAGGTGTGAGCCACCTCGCCCAGCTAATTTTTGCTTTTTTAGTAGAGATAGGGTTTCACCATGTTGGCCAGGATGGTCTCTATCACTTGACCTGGTGATCGCCCACCTTAGCCTTCCAAAGTACTGGGATTACAGGCATGAGCCACCACGCCTGGCCTAATTTTTTGAATTTTTAATAGAGTTGAGGTTTTGCCATGTTGCCCAGGCTGGTCTCAAACTCCTGGCTTAAATGATCCGCCTACCTTAGTCTCCCAAAGTGCTGGGATTACAAGCTTAAGCCACCATGCCCCACCACTTTTTTTTCTTTTTTCTTTTTTTTCCTGTAGCCATTTTTGGGGGTATAAAGTGACACCTCACTGTGGTTTTGACCTGCAGTTCCCTAATTGAGTGTCTTTTCATTTGCTTATTGGCCATTTATATACCTTTTTTTTTTTTTTTTTTTTTTTTACTCAGTCTCACTATTGTCCACAAGGCTGGAGGACAAAGGCACAATCTCAGCTCACTGCAACCTCTGCCTGCCAGGTTCAAGCGATTCTCCTGTCTTAGCCTCCCAAGTAGCTGGGATTACAGGCACCTTCCACCACACCCAGCTAATTTTTGTATTTTTAGTGGAGACGGGGTTTTACCATGTTGACCAGGCTGGTCTCAAACTCCTGACCTCAGGTGATCCACCCACCTCAACCTCCCAAAGTGCTGGGATTATAGGCATAAGCCACCATGCCCAGCCAATTTATGTATATTCTTTGGAGAAATGTTTATTAACATCCTCCCCAGGTTGGGCAACATAGTGAAAACCCATCTCTACTAAAAATGCTAAAAGTAAAAAAAAAAAAAAAAAAAAAAAATTAGCTAAGTGCCATGGTATGTGCCTGTAGTCCCAGCTACTCAGGAGGCTGAGGCAGAAGAATTGCTTGAACCCAGGAAATGGAGAGTGCAGTGAACCGAGATCATGTCAGCACACTCCAGTCTGG